GATTCTTTATGTGCCGCTGTATTGCTCGCCCTTGGTGTCTCAATTCAGGATCTACAAGAAGTAGTGGCACTCTCCCTTCCCAGGCGCTCCATGTACCAAAATAGCGCCATCCCACACCCATATGAAAGTTTCCGAAAGTAAGGGGACCTTAGTGTAGCACCCGAAATAGTAGGATCCTCAGTATAAGGACCTCTAAAATAAAGGTACCCCGAATTTTCGGAAACTCCCAGAGGCTTTGGCCTTCTCAAGCAGCCCCTACATAGTTACTTTATTAGAAGCTGCCCCCACCCTGTAATAGTGACTATAAGGATTATATAGGATTATATTAGGTCCCCAATATAGTCCTATCATACCACTATTACAGGGTGGGGGCAGCTTCTAATTACTTTATGTTAAGGCTCAAGCGAGCCTTAAGGCAGGACAGTTGCAATTTCTACATTGCCAGCGAATTATCAACCCCCACACCCGGCAAAAGCAGCTTAAAGAGGCTTTGTCAACAGTTCTCGATTCCCCAGATCGAGCCAGGATCTTTTTGAGCGAACCTGTTAAAACTAAAGAACTTTAGTAAACACCGAAGCAGAAATAACATCTATTTGTAACCGCCGTTCCTCGGAGTAAAAATCCGAAGAGATTTTAAAACCGCTGCGAATTCAAAGGTTCCTCAATGAAAAATGTACCCATTACTCGGGCGATTTTTTAAAGCCTTAGGGTGGGGGTGGGGGGTGTAGGTTGGCCGATGACTACAACATCCATAACCTTCAGGATCCTCCAGGGTTCGATAAAGAAACTGCAGGATTTGGTGTCCAAAACCGTAAATCCAACACCTAGCACTAACGCAAATCAGAGCCAGCTCCAGTCGGTGTCGACAGTACTTGGAGGTTCATGGGCAGTTATAAATGGAGGAATACGTCCCCTAATATAGGTCATGAGTCATATTTACAGTTACCCTACTTGTAGCTCCACTTACAACTACTCACTTACAACTACCCATGAACCTCCAGGTGCTGCCGGTCACCTGATGTACAGTTGATACGCACATACACATACTTGTGGCAAACTCTCAAACCTAAACCAGAAATCCTAGACCCGCAGCAGGACATGAACCCAACGTAGGCCTTCAAAGAACAGGATAGGGTTTTGGGGTGTGTGGTAGTTGCAAACATTGTTAAGAATTACGCAAGCTCCTACACCAGTCCTCAACCCTAAACCTCAAAATGGCCCAGAAGCCTTATACAATATGGTCTTTAGGCCCAGAAGCCTTAAATATGAGAGTCCTTAGAGCCTTAGGGTAGGTGGTGAGTCTCTTGGCTTTTACATGAACAAGAATACAAAACAATCCCTGTGCAACTATAGCTTACTTGGAGGGTCGGGGGATTTAGTAAGTAGGTAGCAAGTAGACTTATAAGTACCCTAAGACGGACCCTAATTGGGGTTACGGTACTTATAAGTCCCTAAAATAACCAGTTACTAAGTCCCCCTAAACCCTAGACCCTTATAGAATCCCTATAGATCCCTTTTCAGGACCCCTTTAAAGGAACCCCTTATGGTTATTTAGTCCCCCGACCCTCTAAGTAAGTGATGGGACATCGAAAATCGTTGGGTGGTGGGCTGCCTCGGTGTAGGCTATGAGCTTGCTCCGATTGGCCTGCATCAGTTCTAAGGTTTGACATGGGGCCGCATGGGTTGATTACTTAGGGTTGAGGGCTTAGGGTTTAGGGGTTTAGGGTTTAGGGCTTAAGGACTATTGCTCTAGGGGTTTAGGGGTTACTTAAAGGATCATGGGACATAGTAACTAGGGTTATAATTCGGGTACCTATACTTATAACTACTTATAACCCCAATTAAGGTACTTCTAACCATACTTACTAAGTCGCAGGATCCCCCAAGTGGGGCCGCATGAGTTGATTAAGCATTCTTGTTGCCCGACGGGTCCAAAGGACCCAGTAATCAGGTACTTGGGTTCAGGATAGTAATTATGTAGGTTACTGTCCGGGAGAGTATATGATAATTAGGTCCTTGGACCCTTAGGGTTACATATGGTTCTTGAATGCTATTCCCTTGGGAGTAAAATCGCTCAAAAGCCTTATGTAGTATGGTCTTTGGGCCCAGAAGCCTTGATATGTGAGTCCTTAGATCCCCAGGGATTGCTGTTTAGGCAGGTTTTGTGCAAGTTAGGCATGCGGGGTGTCGCCCTCCAAACTCATGAACAAAAGCTTCTGCAGGACCCTTAACTCGAAAAGTGGTCCTTTGGCGGAAGAGCTGCAACTAAATTTATTTATCACTCTGAGCTTGTAGTGTGATCTCAAAGCACAACGGTCCAAGTATTTAGCTGGGACCTAAGAGCGTTTTTGTGCTGTAGGACGCTATAGATTCGCGCTCTCGCAAGCCCTCAGTGCCACACGGGCTTAGGGTATAGGGCTGAAACCATAAGCCCTAGAAACTTACAGTGCTGAAGTATGAGTTCTCACTGACAAGCGCCTCCCTCCCCGCTGCTACCACATCCGGAATTCTGTGCCCGCCACATGATTGCCAAAGACGGGCAAGTGAACTTGAATACTAAAGCCTTAAAGCCCTGAACCCTGCACCCGCGAACACATCGGAACGAAACCACTTGGAAAAAGCTCCTTGGGAACCCTTTCAGGATAGTCGTCATGTGGATTGGATGACCGTTTTGGTGAAGTGGCTAGATATATTATTATAATATTATATGGTATTGTCGTATTTTGGTATTGTAATATTATGGTATTCTGGTGTCAGGTTTAATTATGAAGTACTTGGACCCGTCGGCTGACTCCCAAAAGCCCGGAACCATGAGGTGCCTCGCACACAGCTTTGGCAGCCTCAGCAGCGCAGCGAGAGGTTGAGGAGACTTAGCAAATGGATGGTTCTCAAAATTATGGTCCTTTTGGGGTTCCTATATTATAGTACGGCATCTAATATTTAGGCCCAAAAAGGGACCGCAATTTTGACAGCTACCCAAATCTGCGTTAAGTAGACTGAAGGTTCCGTACGATACCCTCACCGTAGGGATCTAAGGACTCATATGTTAGGACTTTTGGGCCCAAAGACCATACCATATAAGGCTTTTGGGCTATTTTGATCCCTAGGGTCAGCTACGGCAGGTATATAATCCAAGTTATATATCCTGCTTGCTCCCTCAACTTGTGGTATGCCCCGAAAGCACGGAATGTTGATCTGCCCCCAAAAGCCTTATCTAGTATGGTCTTTGGGCCCAAAAGCCTTAATATATGAGTCCTTAGATCCCTAGGGCACGGTTTGGGGTATAGGGCCATGGGGATTTCGGTGTCAGGGTTTAGGTCTATGACTTTGAACAACCACGGTGCCAGTTTGAGGGTTCACGCCTCAGCAACATGCAACATGTACCTACCCAAAATGTCTCTGTGCCCATAAGGTATACACTTGGGCCTAGAGTACCTAAGGGACCACGTTAAGGCAAAGTATATTTTGTTGTGCTATATGAGTAGATGGATTCTTTGGTAGCTCCTTGCAAAGCCCTGATAACTCACTCATACAACCCCATCAAGCTTGATGCCTCGATCATAGAGGTCCCTCTGAGAGCCGCATCAAGCCCGACACAACACCTTTCTACTCAAGGCGATGAAAGACCGACACAGCAACGAACATACTTGGAGGATCATGGAACTTAGCAAGTGAGGTCATACGCACCTTAATTGGGGTTTGAAGTATAGTTACCCTAATTATAATCCTAGTTACTAAGTCCCATGATCCGTTAAGTCATGTAGGGGCCCGGAGAACCACTAGCGCAGTGATGCAATCTCAGAGAGCTCAGAAAAAATGACTGTAGTATCTCATATACCCTAAACCCTATACTCCCAACTCTAAACCTAAAACCCCAAAACAACTCAACTCTATCACAGCCTAACCCATACCCACGGACCCCAGTCCGATCGTGAAGCAGCCCTAAAAATATCTGAACCCCACAGCGGTGTAGAACCCTGGAAGAACCCCTCTATATAGCCCTACTCTATTTCATGAACGGCACGCCAAACCCCCTGTACCAAAGCACAGAAAGGGACCCATGCTACATGAAAAAACCAAGAAAAGACAGCTCGTCCGCTCTTCTTTGCCACCGGCTTCGCACGCTCTCGCATATGTCAGGAGGTTCTTGAGCGGAGGTTTCACTTATTCTAAGCATCTGCCCATAGGGGGAGGGGTTGGGTCGCGGAGGTTCGGGCTCAGGGCTTAGGGCGCAATATAGGGGTCTTAATAACTAGAACAGGGTTTTGGGGCCCATTATACCATACTTTCAACCAGGAACCCCCACAATAGTATAGGTAATTACTATGCTCAGGACCCTACATTAGGGTTTCGGGTTTAGGACTTTGGGTTTCGGGTTGTCCTTCTTCAGAGCTTCGGGCTCGCTATGGGTCTTCCAGGGCTTCGGGATTTTAGGCTTTCGCGAAGCTCCCCCAAGTGGGAGACCCTAATGCACTACCCTACATAGTAGGATTCTTATTATAAGGGCTCCAAAATAAGAGACACCACTTTTCGGAAATTCCCATGGTCGTCACATCTTTCCGCTGCATTCCTTAGAGATCTGCCGGCCGCATGCTGAGGACGGAAGTCCGAAGTAGTTCAGCCACCCAACCAGGCCAGCTCAAGGCCAGGTACTATATGGGCCTTCATAATTACCAATACTATCGTGGGGGTTCCTTATTATACTTACAGTATGATGGGCCACAAAACCCTATTCGAATTACTAAGGCCCCTAATTATAATTCCCCGACATTAGTTCGCATGTTGCCAGGAGATAATATATGCATTCCTGCCCCGAGTTGGATTTGAAGACTCGCGCCACGTATCGATGACAGGCCAAGAGAACTTGAAAAGAAGTTTGATGCTTAATTTAAGGTTTAGAGTTTGAGGTCTAGGCATAAGACATATAGCTTCATGGCTCAAAACATGCAAACTCTGCTTCCAGGCTGCCGGCACTCGCAAATAAAGTCGCATGCGTTGGCTCAGTCACTGCCCCATTCCTCCTCGTCGGCGACTCCCAAATCAGCATCATCTGGTAAGATAAGCCTTGCTGCTCAGATCTACGAAGTTCCCGTGTAAATAACCACTGACGACTAAGAGGAGGCATCCTTTCTGCTACTATTCGGTTTAAAGACTCAATAACGAGACCCAACAACAAAGTGGGCAGGAGGCAATGTGCATTCGATGCGTCTGAACTTCTGAACAAATGTCTCAACACGATATACTGGCTTTCTTACTAGGAATCTAAGCCCTAGGCTCTAAACCTTTGTTACAAACAGACGGTCCAAGCTGCGCAGGCTTTGCAAATTGGAGCGCTAGAGCCGCAGTTAACCCTTATTAAACCCTGTCTCAAACTGGAACCCTACACCCCAAACCCTAAAACCTCCTACAGAATCCTGTGGAACCCTTGAATAGAGCCCTTTAGAGGAGCCCTTAAAGGAACGTTTAAATGAACCCTTAAAAAGAACCCCTAAAGCGAGCCCTTAGTTCAAGGAACCCTAGTCGAAATGAAGCACCAAGGAACTCCTCAGTCACCCATGCCTGCACGCGCTGTGACAGAAGCGGCACAAATTCTCTCGGCCTGGGTTTGTGATTTAGGGTCTAGGGCCAAACCCCTACTTGTCGGGTACCATGGGGAACTAAAGGCTAACCTGTATAGGGATTATATAGGGACTATACTACGCAAAAAAGGCTAAAGGTTGCCTACTCTACTACTAGGAACCCTAAAACCCTTAACCCTGGCTCGCTGTAGGATTTGGAGTTTAGGGCTTCGAGTGTCGGGTCGCACGAAGTCTGACAGCGCGTAGGGCCAAGGCCCTTTAATGGAGCCTCTAGGGTTCCCAGGTAGTGGGTATCATATGTAGGGGCTTAGGGGTTTAGGGGCTTAGGGGTTTAGGGGTTTAGAGTTTAGGTTAGGGTTTGGGGTTCTTCTTTTTCGGCCTTCATAGAATCGGGATGCGGGCATGCGAAAGGGCCTTGTCACTGTGACAAAGGTTCCCCCCAAAAATAAGTAGTTTGGGGTTCAGGGCTTATCGTGGGTCTCCGAGAATCGAGAGCCTTCAGAGTATGGTATTTAGGACCGAAAACCCTAAACTCATGAAGATCAACTAGCTTACAAGACAGCAAAGCAACTCATCAAACGGTAAAAAGTGCGAATGATCGAATAAAAACTACATAAAGAACATTCCGAAGCAAACGAAGGATCGAAAGGCGAGTAACCCAAACTAGCCGACCTTAACATCGAAGAACCGTTACAAACCACGACTTCCCAGGCGCGACATCGAACAATCGTTACAAGAAACGAAGCTCAACATAGGCGTTTCCACCTGAACCCCATCTACCTGCATATTAACCCCTGCATCCCGAAGCCTTGTAACTTCGCCTCCTTGTTCTTTGATTGAAAATGGGGAACAAGCATTATGCTGCACGGCTTTTTAAGGCTTACCGTAGGGAACAACATCGCCCAAAAGCCATAAAAAGTATGGACTTTCGGCCCAAAAGCCTGAATAGATGAGTCCTTATATTGCTAGGGAGAGGGGCCCAAACCCCAAAACCGTCTAAACCACCCGATCCCAGGACTTCTGACCGAGTTCATCAATGCTTGGTACTGGAGAACCAGAGCAAAACCTAGGGATCTAAGGCCTCATATGGGTGGTTGTCACAATTAGGGTCCCTTTTGGGTACCCTAAATATTAGGTGCCGTACTATATTAAGGACCCAAAGAGGGACCATAATTTTGACAACCACCCATATTACCAGAATAGCAATGAACAAACAACAGGGTCCCCTATTTTCGGAAACTCCCGCATGGGAAAACCAAAACTAAGCAGTTGGCCCCACTCTCTTCTCCAACAGCCGGGCCCAACAAAGTTCAAAGCTTCTATCATCAGCCAAACATCTAAGGCCCAAAAACTTCAAGGTCCCTAAACCCTAAACTCTAAACCCATTGGCTAAAAAGGCAAAGGAGCAAGCAAGGCTCCAGGGACTTCGTTTCGACGGCGTAGTCCCGATGCAAAAACTCGACATTCGGCAGAATTCGGTCACGGTCTGGCAGAGCTCAGGCTCTTACAGTAGAAGCCAGAAAGTTGAATATCATTATCGTAACCCCTTTAAGGTAACTTATAGGGGATCCTACCATTAATCCATATTCCAACTTTCTGGAGTTCCCTGTAACCCCATGGCTCCATGTACCCATATAGTATATACTTTCGCCATAAGTGTTCCTACAAGAGGAGATTCAGGCCTAAGTGAAAGCCATAAGGTTTAGGGTAGGGAGCTGTAGGCCTTAGGCCCTAAAACCATGCTTGTGGCTCAGGGCTTAGGGGTTCCGACCTGAGAGCTATATGATTAGTCTCTTCTTTCAACCACATTCTTTATGCGCTTTCTTGTGCAGTTTTTGGAGCCTCCTGCTGCCTTTTATGTGGTTCCAGATGCCCCCTAGGTACTTAGATGGCCAGGGGAGTAAGTAAGGAGTTCTCCCGTGGGGGTTGCAAGTAATCGCGAGTTTGGCTACCGCGTAACCCTACCTCCTAAGCCCCATGATCCTTAAAGTACCGAAATGCCAAGCCATGAGCAACGCAAATATGTCTTCAAAGAACGGTTGAGGATGGAGGAGATGGGCTTCAGAACTTTTGCAAACAAGGGTTGCCATCCTTTCTCAAACTAGGTTGAGCCTCTAATATATACATATAGATACAGACAGAGATACAGATATAGATACGGATATAGATATATAGATGGTCGTCAAAATCATGGGTCCTTTTTGGGTACCCTAAATAATAGGTGCCGTATTATAATAAGGACCCATGAAGGGACCCTAATTTTGACAACCACCCAGATGGCTTTGATGTAGCGGAGATGTTTGGCGTTCTTGCAATCATAGGGATCCTTAGGGGTGTAGGGGGGAGGGGTGTAGGGGACTATATTTCCTTAAAAAGGCCTTATTAGTCCTTATTATGGGCATTAAGGCCCCCTACCCCCCCTCCCCCCTACACCCCTAAGGGTCCCTATGAAACCCCTTGGGTTCCCCCAGCAGAGAACCCGGAAGCCGATAAGAGGCAAACCCTGCACCTGGAGCGTCATGGAACTTAGTAAGTAAGGGTTCCTTTCAAAGGCTCCTTAAAGGGATCTATAGGGTTCCTTAAAGGGACCTATGGGTTTGGGGCTTAGGGTCTACTTGGAGCGTCATGGGACTTAGCAAGTAAGGTTGTAAGTACCTTAATTGGGCTTATAAGTAGTTATAAGAATGGTTACCCTAATCATAACCCTAGTTACTAAGTCCCATGATGCTTTAAGTACACCTGGAGCATCATGGGACTTATATACATGCCCTGCCAAGAACTATAAAAGTAACCGGAAGTCTACCTTAAGGGTAACCCTAGTATTAACCCTAAGGGTCCAGGTGCCCAAATACAAGGCTTTAACGGTCCGAAAACCATTCAGAGCATGGCTTTGGGGACCCAAAACCCTACTATTTGGGTACTTGGCCGTAAACTCTCAACCCTAACCCCTAAACCCTAAACCCTAAACCCTAAACTCTCAACTCCAAACCAGAGATGAAGCAGGGCGCAGCTATGTAATGGTCTGGTGATGCTCGCACCCCAAGGGTCCCAGTAGTCCTTATTGATGGTTGTTGATACTTAAAAAGGCCCTAAAGTCCCATAATAGGGAGTACTTGTACCCTCTGCTCGCAAAACTCGTATTTCCTAATGCAGTTGTGGCTTGTGTCTTTGCTTCAAAGCTTATGGACAACTCGTTTCCTATCAAGGAGATGCTGCTTGGAGAATCATGGGTAGTAGTTATAACTGGGGTCATAAGTAGACGCATATGGGAGACTCATAACTCCACTTATAACTACCCATGAACCTCCAAGTAGTGACGTGACCAGACTTTATGTATCTTTGACCCCAAGCTCTACGTACGTGTAGTGGTCTATCCCAAGATTCGACATAGCCTGCAGACCTCGAACTAGCCCCGCAGATATGCGTGGCGGTTGGGTCGGGTATGATCCTTGAAACAAAACAATTCCGTAAGTATATACTCCAACCGCAAACCCCAAACCCTAACCCCGGGGGTATGCAATCGTAATTTACTTCAACGCCAGGTGCTGAACCTAAGTGTTGGGAAGGCTAGCAGCCCGAATCTACGTGTACGTGCGTAAATACATGTATACATGCATGTATGTATAAATACGTATAAGCGTAGATATATATGTATATATATGTAGACATGTCATACAGATGACGGTTATAAATATGTGCATGGCGCCGGCGCATGTATGTGTGTGTATGTATGTATGTATATATATATATATATGTATGTTTACTGTGTGTGTGTATACATATATATATAAGTATATTACATAAACATCACTTTTATGTATATATGTATGTACATATATATATATATATATATGTGTATATATATATATATGTAAATGTGTGTGTGTGTGTGTCTCTGTTTTTTTGGGGAAGAGAGGGCCGAAGAGTTCCTTCGGAGATGGAGGTTTGGGGCCTGTTTCTTGGGGTTCAGCGGCTTGGTGCTCATGTAAGGTGTCTCCTGGCGCAGGACCTGAAAACCCTAAACCGTTTAGGGTTTAAGTACCAAGACCTAGCTACTGCTTTAAGGTTCTCATTCTGAATCCAAATATGGGTTTGTAGAAACCGTACAAAATGCAAGGGCTCGGGCTCGATAGGTTATGGGGGATACTTCCCTAAGTCATAATAGTAATCCCAGGTAAACGCTAAGCCTGACTGAGCTCAGGAGCTTGCTGAGGCTGATCAAGGTTTCAGGGTTCAGAATTGAGGTGATAAATGATATAAGGTTTAGGGAGTCGAGGGTTCAGGGGATACAAGGTCTAGGGAGTTTAGGGCTGAGGGGTCTAACGCTTAGGGAGTTTAGGGTTTAGGGGTTTTGGGCTTGGGGGGGGTTCTAAGGCTTAGGGAGTTTAGGGTCTAGGGGTTTTGGGCTCAGGGGTCTACGGCTTAGGTAGCAAGAGCCGAGTCAAGAGTAAAGGGGCCTTAGTCCTTTAGTAACAGGCTTTCATGCGTGGCGATTTAGTATAAGACCTTGAACCCAGACCTCCGGGAGGATCTAGAAAGTAGATCCCCTAATTTGGGGCCCTATACTATCAAGGGTACTTTACAGGAACCCCCATTAAGGGATCTACTTTTTGGATCCTCCCGGCGGTCTGGGAAGTAAGCCATGAGCAATAAAGAGCACTCAAACTTAAAGGCCTAAGCAACTGACAACGATCATGAGCAGTAAGGAACACAAGCAGGATTCGATTGAACAATCCCAGTACGCTAGGGATCAAAATAGCCCAAAAGCCTTATATGGTATGGTCTTTGGGCCCCAAAGCCTTAATATACGAGTCCTTAGATCCCTAGGGGAATTTAAACGGATAAGGTTTGGGGAGGCTACTAAAAGGATCATGGGACTTCGTAACTAGGGTTATAATTAGGGTAACTATACTTACAACTACTTATTAAGGTACTTATAGCCTTGCTTACTAAGTCCCATGATCCTCCAAGTAGACCCTAAACCCCAAACCCATAGATCCCTTTAAGGATCCCTATAGATCCCTTTAAGGAGCCCCTTTTAAGGAATCCTTACTTACTAAGTCCCATGATCCTCCAAGTAGGTCTTAGCGGCTTTGGGTTTAGGGGACTTTAGGCTTCAGCGGCTTTGGGCTTAGAGGATATAGGGTTTAGGGATTAGGGGGTTAGGGTTTAGGGATTTAGGGTTTAGGATTTAGGGATTTAGGGATTTAGGGTTTAGGGTTTAGGGATTTAGGGTTTAGGGTTTAGGGATTTAGGGTTTAGGGTTTAGGGTTTAGGGATTATAGGGTTTATAAGGTTTAGGGTTTAGGGATTAGGGGCTCGGGGTTTAGGACAACATGACTTTGTCGGGTAGTGTATCTAAGCGTAAAGTGTACACCTCAAAACCAACTCGTGAGGTCACTTCACGCCTTACTCAAAGGCCCTAACTCTGCCAGCGTCAGGCACAAAAGAACTCGAACAAGTGTGAGGTCAGATCTTTTGAAACAGCGCGCTCCCGTCTCAGCTGTTGTGGAAATTCAGCGTGCCCGTTTCGACGGAACATTTGCAACAAGATGATGCCGTTTCTGCGCAAAGATCAAAGGGACGACTTCCATGACGTCTGGAGACGCAAGACACCGGGCAGTGTTGCCGCCGTGGTCGCTCTCGCTCTTGTCGGCACCAGCGTCCAGGAACAAGCGCGCAATGTCAATGTAGCCATAGCGAGAGGCATACATGAAAGCTGTAAAACCTTGCATGTCGGCCGAGTTCTTGTCGGCACCGGCTTCCAAAAGCAAACAAGCAGCTTCAGCATGGCCATATCGAGAGGCCAGTATCAACGCTGTACAGCCATCATTACCTGCCAAGTTCTTGTCGGCATCAGAGTCCATGAGCAAGCGCACTATTTCAATGTAGCCATAGCGAGACGCATGCATCAAAGCTGTCAAGCCTTCAACGTCGGCCAAGTTCCTGTCGGCACCGGCATCTACTAGCAAACGAGCAACTGCAGCATCGCCATGTCGAGAAGCCAGTATCAGCGCAGTAGAGCCGTCATGGCGGGCCGAATTTTGGTCGACACCGGCATCCAGGAGCATACGGACAACTGCAACGTGGCCTGCGAAAGAAGCCAACATCAAAGCTGTGTCACCATCAGTGTCTGCCCAGCTCTTGTCCGCATCAGCGAGCAGGAGCATGCGCACAACTTCAATGTAGCCATAGCGAGACGCATGCATCAAAGCTGTCAAGCCTTCAACGTCGGCCAAGTTCTTGTCGGCACCCGCATCCAAGAGCAAACGAACAACTTCAGCATGGCCATAGTGAGAAGCCAGTATCAATGCTGTACAGCCGGCTTTGCCTGCCGAATTCTTGTCGACGCCGGCCTCCAGGAGCAAACGAGCAACTTCAACATGGCCTCGGAAAGGAACCATCGTCAGTGCTGTGCAAGCATCACCGTCATTGTCCGCCAAGTGCTTGTCGTCATCAGTGTCCAGGAACAAGCGCATAGCGTCAATATTGTAGCAGCGAGAGGCATGCATCAAAGCTGTCCAACCTCCGACGTCGGCCAAGTTCCTGTCGGCACCGGCATCTACTAGCAAACGAGCAACTGCAGCATCGCCATATCGAGAAGCCAGTATCAGCGCAGTAGAGCCGTCATGGCGGGCCGAATTTTGGTCGACACCGGCATCCAGGAGCATACGGACAACTGCAACGTGGCCTGCGAAAGAAGCCAACATCAAAGCTGTGTCACCATCAGTGTCTGCCCAGCTCTTGTCCGCATCAGCGAGCAGGAGCATGCGAACAACTTCAATGTGGCCATCGCGACAAGCATGCATCAAAGCTGTCAAGCCTTCAACGTCGGCCGAGTTCTTGTCGGCACCCGCATCCAAGAGCAAACGAACAACTTCAGCATGGCCATAGTGAGAAGCCAGTATCAACGCTGTAGAGCCGTCATTGCTGGCTGAATTCTCGTCGACGCCGGCCTCCAGGAGCAAACGAGCAACTTCAACATGGCCTCTGAAAGAAGCCATCATCAACGCGGTGTGTCCATTACCGTCATCGCTCGCCAAATTCTTGTCGGCATTAGCATCCAGGAGCAAGCGCACAACTTCAATGTAGCCATTGCGAGATGCATACATCAAAGCTGTCCAACCTTCAACATCGGCCAAGTCCTTGTCGGCACCGGCCTCCAAGAGCAACGCCACAATCGCAGCGTAGCCTCTTAGAGAAGCCCGAAGTAGTGGACTGCAGCCATCATAATCAAACACGTCTGGGCCGTCTGGGTGAAGTGGCTGCTCCAGCATTGCCTCAACCTGGTGGCTTCCATTTAATTAAGGGTTCCTTTAATGAGGCCCATTAACGGGATCTATAGGATTCAATGAGGGTATAGGGCTTAAGGCCTACTTGGAGGTTCAGGGGTAGTTACAAATGGGGGTGATAAGTAAGGTAGCCATAAGTATAACCCATATTAATAGGGGACTTATAACTACACTTGTAACTACCCATGAACCTCCAAGTAAACTACCAAACGCTCAGGATATGTCCGTGAACAGTGAGCCTTTAAAGGGAACTCCAGAAAGTTGGAATATGGAATAATGGCAGGATCCCCTATAATTTACCTTAAAGGGAGTATGATAATGATATTCCAATTTTCTGGCTTCTACTGTAGAGTGTAGGGTTGCACCCTAAACCCTACATAGGCCCTAAACCTTCTAACCCGGACCTCCATGGAACCGTTCTAGGACCTCTGTAGACCCCTTCCAGGACCCTCCTTGTACCCTCAAATAGGGGTATATGGCCCCAAATAATGGGCGTTTAGGGTCTAGTAGAGGGTAGATGGAGGGTCCAGGTTATGGAACCTTTTTTGAACCGCAACAGAACCTTCAACAACCCCTTATAGAACCGCTATGCATGAGTTCGCGAGAATAGAGGACCCTACTATAGTACCCGAAATAGTCCGATCCTTGTAAGGGTCCCCAAATAAGGTACCCCCCCTAATTTTCGGAAACTCCCCGTTCGCGGGGCAGAGTGGGAAGGACCGGCCTTGGATGTGAAGCCGGATGTGGAGCTGCTTCCTGTGGCAGCTAGCAGCTCGTTCCTAGGTGGGAGTTTCCGAAAATTAGGGTACCTTATCTGGGGGTCCTTATAATAAGGATCCAAATTAGGGTACCTTATCTGGGGGTCCTTATAATAAGGATCCTACTATTTAGGGTGCTATCTTAAGGTCCCCTATTTTCGGGAACTTCCAGGTTCCTGAGGAAGTAACCCCTTTTGCAATAAGGGTGCTTCGGGTTGAGGATTTAGGGTACTACAGGGAACTCCAGAAAGTTGGAATATGGTTTCATGGTAGGATACCCTATAATTTGCCGTAGAAAGGTTCGGATAATCATATTCCAACTTTCTGGCTTTTGCCTTATGCGGTTTTGACAAGGTGACCCTTCACCAAAAATGAAAAAAGGGTACCACTCAGGAACCTAGTTTCGCTTGCGTCTCGGAGGCCGCGAGATAAGGAAGCAGGACCACTTCAATATCCATGGGCGTGTCAACTTTGGCAGAATCATCCAGAGGCTTGCCACGGAATAGAAGTCTTTGCCTGAATCGGGAGGGCAATCCGTGCACCAGATTTAGTCGTTGCTTCAGTGCCTTCACATCGCAGTCAGCAGCAACCAAACCAGCCACGGGCATGCTCGCCACTTCTTGCCCTGAAATCATCCTGATGCGCAGCATTGCGGCGGACAACTGCGGAGCACAAGCTGCTGGGCAGACAGCCAACACCTGTCGTAAAGAATGGCAGTTGCCTTACTCAGTTTCTGACAGAACGCGATAATACCAGTTCAAGCATGTCTTGATGGCAGTCGCACTCGGTGCAAGAATTTACTTTCCCAACCGCTAGCACAAGAATCATACGGAAACCCGAAAACTTCGGTCCAAGAGGTGCTAAGTTCCGAACAGTTACATGACAATCTTGGAAATGGCTTTGGATCGCAGGCGAACTCCAAGGCGGTTCCTATATGGGTGCTGTATAAGCAACTCCCATATACGTAGAAGGACCTTGGGGACGACGATAGGCCTGTGTAGTTCGGCGCGCCGCTGTGGAGACATCCTAGGCATGAGGGTTTGGGGTTTAGGGTTCTAGGGCGTATAGGGTTTGGGGTCATAGGGTTTAGGTTGAGGAGTACTCGGAAAATCCCAGAGACTCCAAAACCCCTTCATGAATGCAGTGCCCTTAGGCTGTAATAGAAAACCCTAGTTACAGGGTATTCCTTAATTAGATCGAAGTGGTTTTGGAGAACTTGGGTTCAGGCTTGGGGGCGGCGGCAAGGAGGGTTGAGAACCAGACCATGGTCTGTGTACAATACTCCACTAATTCATGTAGAGGCCTTGATAATTAGAATAAGGTTTGGGTTTCTACCAAAATTATCATAAGGAGCCTCCTGTTATTCAGGCCCCTATACTACAGTACCCCAGTAATTAATCGCTGCAGGATAGGGGGAACCCTGTCTCCTGGAGGCGGCTATCCTAAGCCCTAAACTTGACGCCGACACCTTGGGACTCTCAACCCCCGAAGGGACAATTCAAAGACCAGCACCGCGCCTCAAGAACCTGACTCAGTCACAAAGAACCCTTATCCAAAGCTCCTGACAGAGGGCCATGGAACAAAACAGGTGTGCAACCCGTCGCACGTTCGAAGAAGTGCAATCTTGGGAGGTGTATTTTGAAAGGTACCCATATTTCCTACAACCCTATTCCCTAAGACTCTAGACCGTGGGGGTCTTTGGTTGGCCTGCTAGTCCATTTCCCTTCCCATGAGCACCAAGCTCCGCGGAGCATATCTATCCCAAACTCGACATCTTAAACCCTTAGCACGAATCGAGCAAACCCGAAGCCATGAACCGAACCCTGAACTCCTAACACCCCTACAGCAACTGACTTGTCCAGTATTATAAGGGAGCTGAAGTTTAACCTCTGGAACCGCGTGGGGATTATAGTACCCCCAAAAGGAATAAGGTCACCTACTCTACTACTAACTTATGGCAAACCCTCAGAAGAACCCTGAAACAAGAAAACAAACACAAACCCCTAGAACCTGATCCCCGTTATAGAAGCCCATTGTAGTACCCTTATAGTACACACAAAGCCCTAGAACCTAATCCCCGTTGTAATAGCAGCCCATTGCAGTACCCTTATAGTACACACTCAGAGGAACCACAACCAAAAGGACCCCTAAACCTTTATTATAGGATCCTTACTGAGGCCCATACCTCCCTTGTTGATCTTTAAGGAGCCCTTTAAAGATCTGTTTGTGGATCCAAACAGGCTTTCGCCAAGTCGCTGGAGTCCCTGAGGATCACAGCCCCGCGGGGGAGCGGCGCCAGCTGCCACCAAGGATCCTCGATTCATAGGGCCCCTCACCCTTAGAGGTACACTTCCTGAAAAAAGCCTTATTAAGTCCTCATTGTAGGTATTAAGGGCCCCCTACCCCCCTCCCTCCTACCCCCGAAGGGTCCCTATCCTCGATTGGGGAAGCTGGAGAGCCCAAAAGCTAAGGCTCCATCCATGTACCTTTTAGGGGTTCTTTTGAGGATTCTGTTGTTAACGGACCGGATTTGTGAATAGGATTTTGGAAGGCTTCACTATGGGATATTTGAATTTTCATTTACCTATTATATATCTCGTATACTTAGTTCCTCAGGCTTCCTACATACGTACCTTGAGGCCTACCTTAAAGCTCCCATAACCTACTTTCTCTTCGGTTCTTCTTATTAACCTTCATATGAAGTATAGGGACCCTGGCGAAGAGTAGGGTTTGGTAGAATAATTTAAAGATATAATGCTGCACATCTCTATAGGTAAGTCGAAGGATTTTCGAGGAAGCCCCTTCAGCGCTATTTCCCCTTAACTCAGCGATAGACCTGAAAGCAACACTTTCTAGGGTGCTCCGGGGTGTTATGAGGGACCTCTAGAGTCTTATAACCCTGGGCAGCAAAACAGCCCAAAAGCCTTATATAGTATGGTCGTTGGGCCCAAAAGCATGAATATATGAGTCCTTGGATGCCTAGGGTACGGGTGTTCCAACAGAGATTTCCCTGCCCTTTGACTGGGATTTGGTGGTTTTGGGGTTCGGGGTTTAGGGTTCAGGATTTAAGATTTAAGATTTAAGATGTATAGTGTATGGTTCACGTTTTTGCGGTTTGGGGTTTCGGGCTCAGGGCTTTCAGACGTACACTTGAAATCATGACATCAAGCCCCTTTGAAATTTAAGGTACATTCCTAGTGGAGGGGCTGTGGCCCTCTGGGAATATTAGGAAGCTTTAAGTAAGCCCTAAACCCGCAAACCTTAAACTTCTGAACCCTTAAACTCAAAGCCCTTACAACCCCAACCCCCTAGACCTAAAGCCCTTAAACCCTACACCGTTTGGGTTCCTTTTCTCAAGAAACATCTGAGGTTTCTATGTGGGAATTTCTGACAATTCTGGGTACAGTATTTTTGGGACCTTATACTAAGGATCCGACTATTATTTCGGGTACTGTATTTAGGGTCCCCTATTTATCGAACCATGTGGACCCTCGCGGTTTTTAGAAATAGTCAAGGGTTTAGAGCTTAGGGTCTATAGACCCTAAACATAGGGTTCAGGGTTTAGGTTCAAGCAAGGTTCCAAAAAAACATTTAGGAGAGCTCAAAGCTCTGGGTTTGCAGGATTTGGGTTTCGGTTCAAGGTTTGGGGGGCTGAGGCCTTGAGATGGTTAGGGTTTTAGGGCTCCTTTGAGGGTTGGTGTAAGCGTTCTCGCAACTTTGTTGTTTTGTTTTATATCGGGGCGTATATTACGGGCACAGGGTATGGTAAAGGGCATCGAAGAGCTAGAATAGGGTTTCGGTGCACAATTTGCCATTCGTTTCAAGGACTTGCAGGGAATCTTATTCTCAACTAGTCCGAAACCGGGTTAGGGTTTAGGGTTTGGGGGTTTACGGGTTAGGGGTTTCTACTTGAAGGATCATCTGGCTGAGGATCTTGGGTTACGTAGTAGTGAAGTAACTGACCTCGTAATTACCTACAGCCCGATTCGGGCACTTATGACCTGACCTACTAAGTCCCCTGATCCTCCAAGCCAGCCTTAACCCCCGAACCGCTTATAGAAGCCCCATAGAAACCTTTTCAAGGAGAATTCTAAGAAACCTTACGTAGTGACCACACCAGGCGCCCTTTTCCCGTAAACCCTGGCTCTGCTCATGCCCGTCCTGGGTCTCCCAATCGTCCAAGTCATAGTTGCAGCGCCGCATGAAAGTCCCAGGAAGCCTTGCTATTTTGCAAGATCCCCTCGTTCTAGTAGTAGTTGTAGTGGTCGTGGTCGTGGTTGTAGTTGTGATCGCAGTCGGGGTCGGGGTCGGGGTGACGGTGGCGGTAGTGGTAGTGGTGGTGGTAGTGGGAGTGGTAGTAGTAGTACTAGTAGACTAGTAGACTAGTAGACTAGTAGACTAGTAGACTAGTAGTAGTAGTAGTAGTAGTAGTAGTAGTAGTAGTAGTAGTAGTAGTAGTAGTAGTAGTAGTAGTAGTAGTAGTAGTGGGTGCATCCCCAACTGCAGGTACCAGGGAGCAAGCGCGTCGCCCCAAAGTCTGCCGCCTGCTTTCCAGAGGACCAAAAAGCCGTGCATTCAGGAATCAACTTCGGTAATTCAGGGGTTCCTTAAAGTGCTACTGTAAGGGATCTGTGGTTTCGGGCTTAAAGGATCACTGGATTTGATAGAGTTCGAGGTGTAGGAGTCATAGGCGAGGATGTAGAAACTGGAATTCCGCGTTGAAGCTTAGACTCTGCATAGCCTTGGTGAAAACCCCGAACCCTTTTGGATTTGGCGAAACCCTTTGAAAGGCTGACTGTTCCGACCCTCTTGTTAGAACCGTACCAAAAGGCTCATGGGACTTAGTAACACGTGCTATGCAAAGGTAACTATACTTATGGTTACTTACAACCCCAGTTTAAAGGACGTTCCGTTTTACTTATCAAGCCGTATGATCCTTCACGCCCGAAGCCGCGCATCTCTTCTAGTAACCGGTTAAAGAACCCCGTACGGAAACCTTTAAGTTACAAAATCCCCCGCCCTGATCCTTTCAGTAAGGCTCAGGTCCTAGGATCCTGTTAAAACATTGCTTGTGCAGTCACACCCTACTCTTCTTAAGGGTAGCCACTTTTCTATATGCCTTGTCAGGTGGAAGTGGAAAAGACGAAGAAGCTGTGTGCGCCCTGGGGGGTAACAAGGGCTATAAGGGGTATAAAAGTATTGGTTGAGGGTTATAAGTGTTAAAGGGTTACAAAGGTTGTAAGGGTTCTAAGGGTTATAAGGGTTACAAGGGTTGTAAGGGGTTTAGGCCTTGTCAGGTGCAAGTGGACAAGACGAGGAAGCTGCGCGGGCCCTGGGGTTTTTAAGGGTTATAGGGGGTATAAGAGTATTGGTTAAGAGTTACAAACGGTTATAAGGGCTGCAAGGATTTTATGGGTTTACCGCTTGTCAGGCGGAGGTGGACAAGACGAAGAAGCTGTGTGAGCCCTGGGGGTTATAAGGGTTATCTAGGTTTAAAGCGGTTATAGGGCTATAAGGGTTGAGGGCTTATAGGATTTTGGGTATGGGGGCACCAGTAAAACACAAAGAGCTTGGATGTGTTGTGGGGGGTGGAGTGCAGATCGGTTTAGGGTTTAGGGAGGGTTTTGGGGCTAGGGGGCAAGCGTATTGGATCGCTCTGCGCCATCGAGGTCGAGGGGCTTAAGCGCCGCCCACTCACGGAGTAAGCCTTGAGTTTTCGGGTTCAAAGGTTCAGGGGTTTAGGGGTATAGGGTTTTAGGGTTTAGGGCTGAGGGTTTATAGGGCTTAGGGTATATAGAAGCGAAATCAGTTAGTCGTGTTTATTTTGAGGCTCACAATATATAGTTTTCTTATGATGTATCACAAGTCTTAGTTCATATCAAACCCACACGCACGCGCACGCACACACACACACACCCACACACACACACACACACACACACACACACACACACACACACACACACACACACACACACACACACACACACACACACACACACACATCCCGCAGAGCAAGTTCCTAGCGCCAATCCGGCGACCAAAACCCGAAACTGTGAGCTGTACTGCAATATAATACACACTGTTTGTCAGGACTGCTAGCAAGGGGCCGTATATTAAATGGAGTCCTTCGCTGGAAAGGATGTGGGGGTTAGGGGTTCCCAAGAGGGTCGGTCATGCCATGATCACTCCTTGTTCAAGGATCTTGTTTTTTCGGTTAGGACTTAGCCTTAACCCTTGTAACCCCCCCAGGGCCTGCACAGCTTCCACCTCCACCTGACAAGGCCTCTAACCCTTGAAACCCTTGTAACCGTTTTAAACACTACCCATTTAACCCATAAAACCTTTATAACCTTTAACCAGTACTCTTATAACCCTCATGAACCCCCCAAACCCACACGGCTTCGTCTTGTCCACTTCCACCTGACAAGGCCTAGCACCCGCATAATCCTTGTAACCCATGTAACCTTTTTATAACCCGTAGAACCCTTACCTATAAACGCTAAACCTGCTAAACCCTAAAATGCTGAATCCCTAAACTACAAGCCCTAAACTACAAACCCTAAGCCCTAGGAAAACCCGTCGCCCGCCTGGTCTTCAAGAAGGAAGTTGGCGACAATGTGGGGCGCTGTCGTTTCGGACACGTAGCTTTCCTAGCTTCGGGATCTCTGCCACTATTGAGGGGTTAGGGCATAGGGTTTCAGAGTCGAGGGTTTTAGGGCTTTAGGGTTTAGGGTCTAGGGATCTGTGACACGATCCATACACTCCCGGAAAAGATTCAAGATCCGCGCAAACCAGCGCGATAGGCAGAAGTATTCAGAATATCCAAGCCTGCCTAGCTTGCACGCCTCCCTTCATTAATGCTGCTTCAAGAGAGCCTGAAACAAAGGACCATGCAAGCCCGCGAATGTTTACGGCCACAACTCTCATGGAGTAAGTGCCAGACCCTGAACCCAAACCCTTAGGCCCTACACCCTGAGCTTTAACCCTAAGCTTTGAAACTTTAAGCCCCGAGCTCTAAACCCAAACTCTACCTATATAAACCACGAACAGTAGGTCATGAAAAAGACCAAGCACGTTTAAACGGCCGTTGTTGTACATACGCTTGGGTTCCAGGTAATCCCTTACAGTACTGAACCCTAAGGCTCCATGTACCCGTATAGTATATACTTAGGCCTTAAAGTACCTATATAGGGACCCCTTTAAGGCCTAAGTATCTACTACATAGGTACATGGAGCCTTTGGGGAAGTCGAAGGATCGCCAGCGTCGAATGCGATGTCCGAGTGCAGCTTTTGAAACTGGTGGTTCTGCGCACAAACGAGCTCGCCAGCCCCTCCCCAGACCACAACATTGCCTGAGGGGTTTTTGGGGCTTTACGGTTAGGGTCCCAAACCACAACAGCAGGCTGCAGGCTATCGTTTTGGGCTTTAGGTTTTCAGGGCTTGCCGTTTAGTGTTTAGTGCAGCCGTGCCTTCGCCATAATACCGTTGAATAACTTCCGCCACGAAGCTGTTGTTCAGCAGCTGAACCACGACGCTTCGGTGGTGCAACATTTGACGCGTCTTCTGCGCCATTCCAAAGGAGTAGCGGTACAATCCGCGGTTGCCATGCGGAATCTTCGCCTTCATTTCCTTAGTCGAACTGTACGAATGCACATGTCCGACCATGTAAAGGATCATGGGACTTAGCGACTAGGGTTATAATTAGGGTAACTATACATAGAACTACTTATAACCCAATTAAGGTACTTATAACCTTACCTACTAAGTCCCATGATCCTCCAAGCAAGCTTGAAAGTTGTTTGTAGGCCGCAGGACTTGGAGCTCAGCATTTGGGTTGTACTGTAGATTCAAGGCCTTGTCGGGCTCTATCAGCAGGAATACATCAAGATCTTGGAGAAGTCTGTAACCCTAAACCTTACCCTAAGGCTCCATGTACTTATATAGTATATACTTAGGCCTTAAAGTACCTATATGGGGACCCCGCCCTATCCAGATCTTGGAGAAGTCTCGACAGCAACCTCCTCGTAAGTGGATCTGACCTCTTCGATCGACTCTTCAGAAAGGACATCCTCGACCACGGCACATCCTGCAGTGGACAGTTCGGGGCGCCTAAACCCTAAAACCCTCATCCCTGAACCCCCAAACCCTATAAACCCCCTAAGCCCTAAACCCTGGACATTCAAGGGTACAGGGATCAGGCTTTGAGGTTGCGTTTTTACTGCCTACTTAAAGTATCTGGAGGCGTAGTACCTCAGGTATTCAACAGGGTAGGTATACTTGTACTTACATAATTATGATAAGCCCAATTAAAGTAAGTACTTACAACCCTACATACCAAATCTCATGATCCTGCAAGCACCCAAAGGCCCCAAAGTAGTTCCTTGTTGGGGCTACCTTATAGAATTCTTTTCATAAACACCAAAAAGGAACTACTTTGGGGCCTTTGGGTAGAAAGGTTGGGAGTTCCTTGGTCCAGGTTGAACAAGTCTAGACCTAAGAGAAACCCAGGAATAGAAAAGGGTGCCCTTTTTGGTTTAAGGTGGTTATAAGGGAACCTAGGGAACCTAAACCCTAAAAAAGGGAATACGGGCCTACTCTGGGTCCTAGCATTGCTTGGATGACACCCTGCAGTCGCGACTTAGACTTGCTTTTCCTGACTGGCCTTCTGTAACTGCCCGCACAATAAACCCGAAGGCCTAAGCCGCAAACAACAATTCTGCACATCGTAATCTACTTCAACACCCAAGGTGCTATTCAATCATGACGGCCATATTTGTGAGCCCAGCACAACACCCCCTCAACCCTAAACACCCTACAGTCTATCCATAATACTTGACTTCTTTGCATTGCTGAAGGAATCCTCCTCCAAATCCGGAATATCGAACTCCCGCCCTATAGACCGACAAGCCCCAAACAAAACTACTTTATAGAGCCACCGCAAACACCTGACGACCTAGACAGTGGAACACAAAAATGCCACAAATACCGTGAAGAAACTTATGACAAACCTTAATCACTCTCCAGGACCTCATCAAGCCCTGTACATCTGTAAAATTTTAATCCCTACAAGACAATGGTTAAGGTCCTCCCCAGAGGGAACAAACATACCACCATCATGGAAGTAGACCCCCAAGACCAAAAGAACAACATTGTTTGGGGGACCGGACATAATTCCGTAATAGTAGCGCATGTGGGAGTTTCCGAATATCGGGGACCCTAATATACTATCCTAAATCGTACATCGTAGGATCCTCATTTTAAGGACCCCAACATAAGATACCCCTCATTACCGAAAGCTCCCTATTACAGGAACCCTAAGGTACGCCCTCATTTTCCGAAACTCCCATGTGGACGCTCTTGGCTCCTTGTGTCCGAGGGCGATAACCTGCCTTTTCGGCGGCCCTTATTATGATTTCTTGATATACGTCCTTACAAAGGTGGCCCTGGGCTACTTGGGGTTCAGGTAGCGTACATGGACCCTCTTGGCTCCTTGTGTCCGAAGGAGATGACATACGCGATTCGCCCATCCCGGCTTGCTGGGATGCACCTTCGGCCCCCCAACCACCCTGTATTATACGGTTGATGATATAAGTCCTGCATTACCCATAATAAGGAATATACCATAATTCCCATAGTTTAGGGACCTTAAGGTCATGCAGGATTTATATCATCAACCGTACCCTGAATACCCACTTTTGAGGACTACAAGGGCTCCATTAAAGCGCCCTCGGGGGGTCCTGGTTGGGGTTTGAGGCTTATATGGGGATTTCGTGGCTGTGTGGGGGCTTGGGGTTTGAGGGTTTGGGTGCTGGGGGCTTTTGGGGTTTAGGGTAGGGTTTAGGGCTAGGGGTTTGGTTTAGGCTCCTCAATCATTAGATGAGGGTGCTGGGTGCTTATTAATTAGGGTATTAATGCTTTGAGGGCCCAAAACGTAATGTTGCTAGCGACGTTGTAGGGTTCGTAAGGGGTTTCATACGGCGTTGGTCGTTTAGGCAGGGATCTATGGGTTTGCTCTAAAGCGGTTATGAGCATTGCAAGGCAATCACAAGGCCGATGACCTGTTGAAATCTTCAAACGCAGACCTGGACCCTAAGGAACTTATCTTTTTGGGGCTCCTTAAGATGATCTCTTTTTATAAGTCCTCAAAAAAGGTGACGTGGGGTTAAGGGAATGGTTGAACAACGGCTACAAACAAACTCGTGCTGAAAGCTGCCCTGTTACACCTTATGTCTTCGAGGATCCATGTACCCACACAGTATGCACCTGGGCCCTGGAGTGCCCGACAACCACAAAACTCTAAACCCTGCTTGCAGGTTCAGGGGGTAGTTATAAGTGGGGTTTTACATGCCCTGGGTTATGATTTCAGGTACCTTACTCAGAACCCCACTTACAATTGCCCGTGAACCCCAAGTAAAACTCCAAACCCTATAAACCCTAAGCCTTAACCCTAAAACCCTGAACCCTAAACACCCTAAACCCTGCACCCTAAATACCCTAAACTCTACACCAAACCCTGAATACCCTAAACCCCAAATACCCTAAACACTAGCCCCCGTGGCCCCCTCCAACCCCCCCTGCATCTCTAAGCCGTAGATACCCTAAACCGCCTAGACCCTACCCCCTAAATACCCTAAACCCTAAATACCCTTAACCCAAATACCCGAAATACCCTACACCCTACAAGAGCCAACCCACGTTCAGGAGATCTAAGTAAAGCCCAAATACCCGAAACCCCAAACTCTAAACTCTCAGTAGTGGGTATTTCGGGTACATTAGAGTGTAATTGGGGGGTCTACTTGGAGGATCATGGGACTTAGTAAGTAAGGTTATAAGTACCTTAATTGGGCTTATAAGTAGTTAGAAGTATGGTTTACCCTGATTATAACCCTAGTTACTAAGTCCCATGAACCTTTAAGTAAGAGCCAACCCACTTTGAGGAGATCCCCTAAATGCCATAAACCCTCAACCCTAAATACCCTAAACCCTACCCCCTAAATACCATAAACCCTAAATACCCTTAACCCTACACCCTAAATAAGTACTCTAAACACCCTCCACCACACAAGAGCCAACCCACCTTGAGGAGATCTAAGTCCATGGGCAGACGCGGCAGTGGCATCCACAACGCACTGCTATCGAGCCTGAAAATCAGCGAACAAAGAAGGCCAAGGCTTCACCCTTGTCCTTTTATAAATAATAGACAGAGCCCTATACCTATATCCCCTAGTAGGAATTATTTAAGAAGGTCTACTAGCCGGTCTGTTTATTCTTTTGGGGGAACCATGAAAAAGGACAAGGCTGCAAGGCTTTGGGGGCTGAAGGTTTCGGGCTCCGTTAAAGGGACCCATAGGGGTTCTATCGTTAAAGGGACCCATAGGGGTTCTATAAGGGATCTATAGGGTTTAGGATATCGGCGAACAAACCCTAGGGCTTTGAGGACTCGTATATTAAGGCTTTTGGGTCCAAGACCATAATATGCATATCTATATATATATATATATATGTGGCTTGTGGGCTATGCTGATGCCCAAACAAAGAAGGCTAAGGGTTTCGGGTTTAAGGTTTGGGGATTTTAACGTTCAAGTTTTGGGGGGATGTAACGTTTAGGGTTTGGGGGTTCTAATAATTTAGGGTGTGGAGGGCTTAATGCTTAGGGCTTGGGGGGGGGGGGGGGGTTATCCGCATTGAGTGTCTTGCAGGCCTTTATAAGGCTGCTGAGGGCTTGATCAAGGTTTTACTTGACGGATGTTCGAGAGGATTAGACTTGATAAGGGGTCTATTCAGCATGGAGTTAGTAGGGTGTGTGTAAGGTTTTGCAAGTGCGCTGCAAGAGGTTTAAGATTGAGGGTTGAGGGGTTTAGGTTATGGCATAGGCTGGCTCATAATATGGGAGTACAAGATTTTCCTAAACCCTAAACCCGAAATCCTAAACCCTAAACCCTAAACCCTAAATCCTAAACCCTAAACCCTAAACCCTAAATCCTAAACCCTAAACCCTAAACTCCATTTGGATAACGGGGGATCGGAGCCTTGCAAAGGCCCAACATAGCCCAGCAGCCTTCATAAGTATGGTCTTACTCTTCTTTCCCTAGGGATCTAAGGACTCATATGTTAAGGCTTTTGGGCCCAAAGACCATACTATATAAGGCTTTTGGGCTATTTTGATCCCTAGGGTTTGGGCCCTGGAACCTTAAGCTACTTAGAGGATCACGGGACTTAGTATGTAAGGCTAAAAGTACATTGATTGGGGTCTATAAGCACTTAGAGGTATAGTGTTATATACACCATATTCATAACCCTCATAACCCTATAGCTACTCAGTTACTCAATCCCATGATCCTTTAAGGACCCCGGTAGCCCTTATTGTAATCCTCGGAGTAACCGTCTAAGGCACCGTTTAGGGAGCCCTAATTACAAAGTCCCCATGAGCCTATAAGCCACAAGTCGACCCCTCGAGATTTAAACACCAAACCCGGCATCCCCAAGGTTTAGGAGTTTCGGTTTCTTAAGGTTTAGGGGTTTAGGGGTTGAGGGCTTGGGGGTTTAGGGGTTTAGGGTTAAGGGCTTAGGGCCAAGGAAGCCTTAAAATAGCTCTTATGGTCAAAGAACCCTAGTCAAATCCGAAATTCCCAAAGGAAGCCTCGGAGTGTAGGGTTTAGGGGTTTAGGGTTTTAGAGCAAAGGAAGCCATAAAGGAACCCTAGTCTAGCCCCACGGGGTCCAAAAGACCCAATAATTAGGTGCTCGGTTTCAGGATAATAGATATGTAGGTTACTGTTTTGGACAGTACTTAAAGGATCATGGGACTCAGTAACTGGGGTTATAAGTAAGGTAACTGTACCTATATCTACTTTCAACCCCAATTATGGGACTTATAACATCACTTACTGAGCCCCATGATCCTTCAAGTATATGAAAATTAGGTGCTTGGAACCGTAGGGTAGTTGCCACAGCCCCAAAGGAAGCCTCAAAGCACTCCTCAACACCGTATGGTAGCCCGTTGAGGTGCCCTTTAAGGAAACCTAGTCCAACCCGACATCCCTGAAGGAAGCCCAGGGTTCAGGGTTGCTAGAGCCCCAAAGGAAGCCTTAAAGGAATCCTAAGCACAGACGGAGCAGCGGCTCCAGCCATCTCTCCGGCACTTCCCGAAAGCACCAGCGCGAGGTTAGAAAGCCCCAATCACCTGCTTCTGCTTCCGCACCGAGCCCAATACCCCTTAATGAAGGAATATGGCTTAGATTATATAGGGCTTCATAACATGATTTGAGCCATATTCCTTAATTAAGGGGTATTAAGGGGTATTGGGCACTCTGGGTCTTTGAAGTCAGCTTAGGGGGCTTTTAGGGCTTAGGGTTGAGGGGTTTAGGGGTTGAGGGTTGGTTACTTGGGTTCAGGATCGTAGTAATCTAGGTTCGTTTTTTGGGGGAGTATATGATCATAGGTACTCGGAGCATTGGGGGAGTAAGGCCTCGGGGCTTAGGGTAACCTGCTTTGTTTTTGTTTGATTGATTCGGAGGGTGGGGGCCTCTGCAGGGTTTTTAAAGTTTAGGGGTTCAATAGGGCTTTATGGTAAGGGTCTTGCAGGGTTTCCCACACTACTTCAGGGAGGATCATGGGGCTTTGTAAGTATCACTTCACTTCCACAGTCGGGGTTAGAAGTAACTATCACGGAAGCACGCTTTTTATGACCTTAGTTAGGCAGGCTCAAAGCTTTATCGGTGCAGCCCCAAAACCTCTAGACCTGAAGCTCTAAAGCCCCGAGCCCGAAAAGCAGCTGCGCTCTCTTCGCACTGGGCAAGGCTATCTGCATGGAGGATTGGAGCGTTGCTCTTAGGATTCGGGGTTGCCAAACCTTTACACAAACCCTACGCCCGAACACATAATAATTAATCATGCATCCGTAAACTGTTTAAGCAGCCCTTGAAACCCCTGAACCCTTTCTAAGGGGCCCACAATATATCCATAATACCTCATGGCTACAACGCGAAAGAATTCTGGATGCCCCAAACCCTAAATGTTAAACCCCAAACACCGCTTACAGTAGTCTCACATAGCGGGACCCTGAAAGCACCAACACAAACCTAATGCAGAAGGCCAAACAGTGAGCTGTACTATTCCTGTCTATATATTCATACTACAGCACTTGGAGGTTCAGTGGCAGTTGTAAGTGGGGGTGTAAGTAAGGTAACCATAAGCACAACCCATTTCAGGAATGCTGTAACTCGACTTAGAACTACCCATGAACAATACTGGATCCCAAAACCGTCTTCTTTTGTGCCCCCCCCCTCCAAGCCCGAAGTCGTTATAGACGTCTTGGAGGAACTCTTGAAAAGGTCGCCTAGTCTGACTTATGACAGGCGGCGCCTATATTGCCCTAAAGCCTCGTGAATTGCATACTTTACCGTACATTTTTTTGAGGTCCCTTATGGAACCCTTATAGATCCCAATTAAGGGACCTTATAGGAACCCTCAGCCGACACGTTCCATGACTAAAGGGGTCTTGGGAGATCTGGCCCTTGCCTGCACGCTTCAGACGTATGCGCCAATTGGAGCCGATTCCCAAGAAGCATCCAGGCAAAGACACTGCCTCCACTTAAAGGGACTTAGTAAGTAGGATTATAGGGTTTAGGGTTTAGGGGTTTAGGGGCTTAGGGGTTTTGGGTTTAGGGTTTAGGGGTTTAGGGTTTAGGGTTTAGGGTTTAGGTACATATAACTACTTATAACCCTAATTATGGTACTTATAACCTTACTTACTAAGAAGCATCCAAGCAAGGATACCGCCTCCACTTAAAGGGACTTAGTAAGTAGGATTATAGGGTTTAGGGTTTAGGGGTTTAGGGGTTTAGGGGTTTAGGGTTTAGGGGTTTAGGGTTTAGGGTTTAGGGTAACTGTACATATAGCTACTTATAACCCTAATTATGGTACTTATAACCTTACTTACTAAGAAGCATCCAGGCAAGGATACCGCCTCCAGGCATCTACCGGATCTGAGGTTGACCTATAGTCTCCATTGTAGTTGCTTTTTGGGGCTGCCTTTTAGGATTCTTATTATGGAATAGGTTAAACCCCAAAAAGGAACTACAGTGGAGACTATAGGTAGGCTTCTTCAGAGTACGAGGGGTTTAGGGTTTAAGGTTTATTCAAGCAATGTGCCGGTGGTTGGTTTACGGTCATGGTTTCATGCGACATCTTGAGAAACCAGAGATGCCTGTCCAGTATCCACTCTATTAGTCCCCACATGCACTAACCTACAAAACTACGGTTCTGCACTCAACCCCCTACTTACCTACCTCTGTCAGGACTGACATATGGAAGTTTCCGAAGATAGAGGACCCTAATATAGTACCCTAAAAAGTAGGATCCTTGTTATAAGGAGCCCCAAATAAGGTACCCCAAATTTTCGGAAACTCCCATATGGAAATCGCAATACGGAACCCTACAAAGTAGGCTTTGTAGGAATCAGGAGATCCAAGGGTCCATATACCCAACTACCCTAGGGATCAAAATAGCCCAAAAGCCTTGTATAGTATGGTCTTTGGGCCCAAAAGCTTTAATATTTGAGTCCTTAGATCCCTAGGGCTAGGGTATACTTTGGCCGTAGACTACTGATGTATGGACGACTTTAAAGCGAATGTACATACCGCATGAGTCCATGAGCCCTCTAGGGTAATGAGAATAGGTGCTTCGGACGTCGTCGGTGTACTGCTTTTGGGTAGGGATATGGCAGTCGAGGTGCGGGATAGAGCCCACAACCCCAAACCCGCAGGTGATGTATGAGGGAGTACTTTAAGGGAAAGAATCTTCGGGCGTGACGAAACCGCCTCAAGCGTGATGGAAGAGACCGCATCCACTTCCTTGGCTGACTTCTGAACCCCTCCTAAAAGTTAAACTCAGAGCCTCTCCTTCTTATAGTTCATACACAAGCCCAGAAAGTTAAAGTCCTAAGAGGCAACCAGAAGAACGCCAAGCTTCAGTTTCGCGCCATATACAGAGCTCTTGCTTCTCATCTGCGAAGAACTGACAAACAACCTTGCTGGCACAAGCTTAGGGTACCAACCCCATCGAGCCAACGCATAAAATTCAAAAACAAAGCCAACAT